TATGCAAAGTTATAATAACGTTCAAGTTTCAAACAAATACTTACAATATAACTAACAGCTTGTTAAATAGTGCGAATACAAATAAAGATTCACATAAACAGCATAAAAAAAAGTTGGCAGTAATTTTCAGTGACTCTGACGATTCGAATTACTATAATAAATGATTACCTAAAAAGCGAAAAAGTCAAGAAGTTATTTCTTCTGATAATTATAGCGATTCTGAAACAAATATGTCAAGTGATAATGAAAGTTCAAAGCATATTGCATTAAGTGATTCTGAAAGAGAAATCAATAAGGTATATACTGTATAACTAAAATAGCAAATTAAATATAGATTATACCCTTCTTATCTTATATATTATTGTAATTACTAAAAATTCTTTATTAATATTAGATAAAACCTTTGAAAAACTTTCAATTGCAAAGCCTCCAAACTTAAAATGGTACAAGTTATCAGAAATACTATTGCTTGATAGCAAAGTTTATACATTGTATAGGGTATTATTTGATTCATACTACTATCTTTAACGGTTGAGCACTTTATTTGAATTTACTTTTTTTTTTAAACATTTAACAAATTATTTAAGAGTGCAATGTGTGAATTCGTAGCTTAGTTATGGGCTCATGATACACCAGAGTATTGTAAATTAAGTGCAACTAAAAACAGGTACTAATTAAAAAGGTATAATTGTTTATTTTAAAATTATAATTTGATACTAATATTAATCTTCTTTAAATTTATTATTAATAGTATAAAGCCAACAATCTAGACTTTCCAAATTGTATTAACGATTGGGTTATAAAAATGATGATGTGTCATTCTATAAACTAACAATGTATATTTTTAATATTAATTAGAGTAGCTGTGCAACGTGTGATGCCGCGCAGAACCAGTACAATCACGTATGTACGTGTAAATTCGATTATTCTTTACTAAGTAAATTAAATTAAATTATATTACCGATTCTTCGTAACTATAATTATGATGAAAACAATAAGTAGTTGGAGATGAAACTCGAGCTTAAA